AGCAGGAAGTCTGCTTAAGGCGCTGAACTCCCACATGGCCATACCACTATGTGGCCGAACTGGTTCAAGTTCCAGACCCAACAGCTTGCTCGCTCGCTCGCTCTCTCTCTTTCTGGTTCTCTCTTTTTCTCTCTCCAGTGAGCATCTGGTGAGCATGCATGCTGTCTGAGAAATGCTGGAGCGCACAGTGGGCACTGCAGAAAATAAGGCATCTCTCACAGCTAGGAAAGCTTCTGTTGGTTGGTCTTAGAGAACAGCAGCTGACAGACTGTCCACAAACTCTTATATAAAAGATGATGACCTTCTACAAAGAGCTTAGCCTGAGTTACACACATACATCATTTCCTCCCAGTACTCAGCAAAAGAAAATCAACCATTTATGGTAAAAAAAAAAAAAAAAAAAAAAAAGCAGAGGCCAGCTGCAGGCACAGCGATAATGCAACATTCCACGAAGCTAAGACTGAGACAGTAGGAAGGTTCTGGGTTCACATCCCAATGCCCCGCTGTGTGACGCTCTGCCAGGAGCGTTCTCACACAGCCACGTTCCAGATTAGAACCTCCCTGAGTGCACCAGGCACACGTGTCTATGATCCTGGCTGGCTGAGGCTGGGGCAGTACTGCAGTTTGGGAGCTCTGTTGAGGGTGCCTGTGTGTGTGTGTATGTTTCTCTCTTCCCTCAGAGAATAAATAAATGCCCAATAGCTGAAAGCTTAATATATCAGTATGCTAAATATTTCTAATGTTTCTCTAGAATTTTTATGAAAGTATTCCAACTTTTTATTTTCTTTTTCCAAAACTAACACAGAAATGGCAAGTAAAGGTAATAAATGTTTTCCCCCTGGGGTCGGGTACACATAAAGGAAGACTACCTGAATTAACAATGAATAGCCAGATGAGCTACCGGTATCCCATAATATTACACTATCTTATTCCTTTTGGCCAAGTTGAAGATGTGAAGCAGTTTTTAGGTACTAATATATTTCTTAATATGAAATATGAAAGATTTAGAGTCTGCCCTCTGAGAACCTATTGCTTTAATTCATTCAAAACATTCATCCAAGAAACAAAGAGCGAACAGGAGCAAGGTGAAAAGTGTGGGGAGTGGGAGAGGCTGGCACCAAATCAGAAGTGGTAGCAAATTAGAAAGCTTTAGCCTTTTCAGGCCTTAGTCATTCAAATTGCTTCATAAAAGCTATTCGTTGCAATTGTTTTCAATTACCTGAGGAACTAATTGAAGAGATGAGCATAAATCACAGTAAAAGCTAAAGCTTTCCCAGCTGAAAGCAAGTCACCCACTTTTCAAGGAGTATGTCTTACTCTAACAAATGTGGCAGATGAAAGCCTCTGCCTGTCATTATCCGTACACCTGTGAGCAATTACCGTCACCGAACACAATGCGGCCACACTCCACAGAGGGGCGGCGACACCAGCATCCTCAGACCCTGAGCAAGCAAATCATCAGAGGACTTGGTTTTTCAAATAGGCACACCACACACATTCAGAGTTCCGGAGACGCTATTCAGACCTTTTTAACCTGGAACTGAATAACTTGGGTTCTTTAACAAAAAAGAAACTTGGGAAACTTCAAAGAATGCCAAAACGAGCCTGAATCGATATGATTAAGGCAGATGTTATATTCTTGCGGGATCACGATGAGAGATGACTCTCCATAAAACACAAACGAATAGCTAAATCTCGCCTGAAACACGCACCAGATGGAGAGGATCGACAGAATGGGACACAAACAGCATGGGAGCATCACGTTTCTACCCACCTTGCAAACATTTCAAGGTCTTTGGCAAAATTTTCTGAAAGAGAAAAGAAATACATCTCAGCTCCCTTTACCCCCATCTTATCTCAGGAGGAAAAGCCAAACCTCAATTTCCCAGTCAGTAGGGTAACTAATACAACCAACCCTTTTAAAGGGGAGAGGAGGCACTTCAGGCAGCTCGTCATTCCATAACAGCCTTGAGCTTTTTCCTTCACCATGACCTCAATGCCCTTCCCAGCACCCTCTAGCCTTTCTCAAGCCTCCCGTTAATTGTGACTACACCTTTGGTTTCTAGAAACTATCCTTAAACTTTAAATTCTGCTACAAGTTAGGGCCAGTGAGGACATTAATTTCCTCTGAAATCAGGCAAATACCAGTGCGATAAGTTCAGCTGTCAAACTATGGATGGTATAAAAATGTTATAAAGCATTAGAATTTGGGACCAGCAGTTAGCATAATGGCTATGTCGCTGGACTCCCACGTAGTCAACAGCGGTTTGAGTCCCGGACCCGGTGGCTTAAAACTCATGCCAGGCACGTGTGCATGCGTGCCCAAGATCCCGAGAGGAGAATGGAGGAGAAGGGATTGTGGCGTGGCCATCACCTCTGGGGGCTGACTTCTCACTTTCTGTCTCTCTGTCTCTGTCTGGCGAGCGCACACGCCCTATAGCGAAAAACTCTCCAAAAAAAAAAGAAAAGAAAAGAAAAGCAGTTTTGAACTGGTAAGGATATTTTCTTGAAACTTAAAGCCTAGAAATAGGTTAGTATTCTGTTCAAATAGTAGGTACATGAATCTATTGACAACTCAAGTCAGGACAAAATCCTTAAAACTGGACAACAAAGCTTAGAAGAAAAGCAGCAATATTTTAGTCAAGTCACAGAATGCTGTTTCATCAGTTCAGTCTCATGTACTTAATCTTCTGTTTCTGTTGAAGTTCGATCTTCCAGAACTCTGGGATATAATACTCAACTCCAGACTTTGTCCCTACAATTAAGTTGCCCATTTTCTTAGTTTCTAAACTCTTATTTCTGTGTGTCTGTATTTAATTTTCCTGATCTAGCACTCCCTTGAGAACTTTTTGGAGATCTGGTCTGCTGCTGGTAAATTCTTTCAGGTTTTGTTTATCTGAGAATGTTCTTGCCTTTTCTTCCCACATGGAAGATAATCTTGCCGGGTATAGTATTCTCAACTGAAATTGCCTTTCTCTTAATACTTTGAATATATTTTCCCATTCTTTCCTTGCTCACATTATTTCCGATGAGAAGTCTGCTGTTAGCCTGATGGGATATCCTTTTTGGTAACTTGGTGTTTTTCTCTTGCCAATCTTAGTATCTTGTCTTTGTCTGTGGTTTTGGTCAATTTGGCTATAATGTGTCTTGGAGAAGATCTTCTTGGGTTCATTCTATTTGGGGTCCTTTGTATTCCTTGGGACTGGATCTTTGAGTGCCTCTCTAGGTTTGGCAAGTTTTCTTGCAGGATTTCATGGAATAGATGATCAATGTTCTTATGAGTCTCTTTGCCTTCTGGAATGCCAGTTATCTGGATATTTGGATGTTTGATGATATCTAGTACTTCTCATATATTATTCTCATTTTTGGGGGCATTTTTCTCAGTCTTCTTGGTGGATTTTTCTAGGCCAGCCAGACCTTTTTAACCTGGAACTGAATAACTTGGGTTCTTTAACAAAAAAGAAACTTGGGAAACTTCAAAGAATGCCAAAACGAGCCTGAATCGATATGATTAAGGCAGATGTTATATTCTTGCGGGATCACGATGAGAGATGACTCTCCATAAAACACAAACGAATAGCTAAATCTCGCCTGAAACACGCACCAGATGGAGAGGATCGACAGAATGGGACACAAACAGCATGGGAGCATCACGTTTCTACCCACCTTGCAAACATTTCAAGGTCTTTGGCAAAATTTTCTGAAAGAGAAAAGAAATACATCTCAGCTCCCTTTACCCCCATCTTATCTCAGGAGGAAAAGCCAAACCTCAATTTCCCAGTCAGTAGGGTAACTAATACAACCAACCCAAAATATATATGTTAATGTTTAATGTTGCAATCATTAGGCCAGCTTAAAACACAATAAAATGAAGATGTTAATGACCCAGTGTTAGTGTAATAAAAAGAAAATAGGGCTCTTTCTACAAAACATTCAAATCTTATCGCTAAGAAGCGTTTTCCACCCACACTGCTCCCAGGCAAAGTCAAGTCTTGGGATCTATATGGATATGAAAAAAGACCGTGGCTTCATACCACACTGTCGAAAAGTCGCCTCCGAAATTGCCGCAATGGTTTGTTTGCTGAACTGCATCTCTTTGTCCAGTGCGACTTCCTCGCAAAGACAACCAACAGTGTAGTGAACGGCTGCCTTTAACCTCTGGGGGAAAAAATCAAAACACTTCATGGGTAAGGTTGCAATAAGAGTTTTCGCACCTTAAAAAATTAAGACGAAAGGGACCAGCAGTTAGTGTAATGGCTATGTCGCTGGACTCCCACGTAGTCGACCGTGGTTCACGTCCCGGACCTGGTGGCTTAAAACTCACGCCGGGCACGTGTGCGTGCATGCCCAAGATCCTGAGAGGAGAATGGAGGAAAAGGGATTGCAGTGTGGCCATCCCCCCTCGGGGGTGATTTATCACTTTCTGTCTCTCTGTCTCTCTCTGTCTGGCGAGTGCACGCACCCTATGGCAAAAACCTCTTCAAAAAAAAAATAAGACCAAGGAAAAGGTCTGCTCGGCCTAATTTCTTCGGCACTTTCCATAATGTCTGAGTGACTTTTCAAGAGTACTAATAAATTATGAGATCCTCTCAAGTGTGACTTGTAGAAACATTACTTCCTAGTTAATGGTTATGATTTGATGACGCAAAGATAAGAATTGTGGCGGCAGGTCAGTGGGGAGGGAAGTCAGGATGGTATTTGCCAAGTAGCAGCATGACTTTTACTCAGTTATTCCACAACTATCTGCCAAGCCCCTCCTGAGTAAAGGCATATGCTAGGTGTTTGGGGAATGCAGTGGAAAAAATGGGATTTGTCCTTAAAACAGGTAATCAAGTAAATGCAGAAGGGTCCCAAGCCTCTGCTGCAAGCCCCTGGCAACCCCAGGCCTGCGCAGTCACAAAGGACAGTTCAGAACACCAGGAAATGCTGTGAGGATACCGGGCCCTCGTTCAATTTGAAGGTTTGCTAGCCCACCTCAGCAGGGCCCTCCCTACTCTCCTGCAACCCTTTTAGAAACTGAAAAATACATTATTTCTTCTTCCCACACAGAGTAAAGTGCAAAGGGAAAAAGAAGAAAAAACCTCAAGACAGAAGCAAAACACACGAAGCAATGGTCTCGGTGAGCCCATCTGTTAACTGTGTCTGCTGAAGACGGAGCTGAGCTGGACACGGTGAGCCCAAGACAGCATAAAATCTGCCAAATGTGCACGAATAGGCAAGATGAGGAAGAACTGCAAAAGACACAAGGCCGGGGCCAGCAAATGGTATGGTGGTTAAGGGTGCCGGGGAAAAAAATCAAAATACTCCCACGTGGCTGACCGCAGTTTGAGTCCTAGACCTGGCGGCTTGCTTTCTCAGTTTCTCTCTCTCTTGCTCTGTCCCTCCCTGGTCAAGTTAAAATAAATAAATGGATAAAGTTAAATAAAATAATTTTTTAAAATACACAAGGCCATAGGGCCAGCAGGTGGTGTGGTGCTTAAGGGCACTGTACTTCCACATGGTCAACCCCAGTTCGAGTCCCAGACCTGGCAGCCTTCTTTTTCTCTCTCTTTCACTGTCTCTCCCACTCTGTCCCTCTCTGCTCAAATTAAAATAAATAAAATAAATAAAGTTAAATAAAAATAAAAATAATTCTTTAAAAATAAATAAATAAACAAGGCCAGGACTCGGGTAGAGACCAGGCAGACGAGCAGTGCATCTATTTTCCTTAGTTTCAGACATCAGAGACTAGGTAAGCTGAGGCCTTTTAGCATGAGCAGCCAAAGAACTACCAATATAGGAAGGATGAAGACCATCCGAAGTCTATGGTTTTGGGCCAGGGTATAGAATATGGATTTTTTTTTTTGAGAATTACTTCATTTTATTATTTTTTTAAAATTTGACTGGAGAGACAGAGGTAAAATGAGAAAGCAATCTGCCAGATCTGAGACTTGAACCATGGTCGATATGGGAGTCTAGCTCCTTACCATCATGCCACCTACTGGCCCCTAGGATGTGGATCCTTTTGAATGCTCTTGGTTCTAAGAGGTTCTCTCTTCCTCTTCCTTTTCTCTACCTCCTGAGCTAAACTAATGCTTTTTTTTTTTTTATGTTATTTCCCTTACTTTTATCATTACAGTTATTTCCAATTTGACCAGAGCAAGACACACACACACACACACACACACACACACAGAAAGAGAGAGGGAGAGGAAGTGAGAAAGCAAGCCACGAGGTCCAGGAATCGAACCACGGTTAGCCATGTGGGAGGCCAGCGCCCCTAACCATCATGCCACCTGCCGGCCCCACTATTGGCTTCTTCAATGCTGCAGACACCACTGCACTCAGAGTTAAATCACTACACTCTAAACTCACCAAAGACCAGATCCCATCAGTTCTGTTCTCTGCCGGCCACCCTCCCCACAGCAGTTCAGATGTCTCAGTCCATCTCTGCAGCCTTATTTTCAGTATGAACTGTCTACTGAGAGCCAGACTCTGTTCTAGGAGCTGGCAATAGCTATAAAAAGGACAGTCCCTGTTCTCGGGGAGTTTACCTCCCACCACACCTCTACTGTGAATGGACTCTTCAAAACCATCAGTGGTAAGACAGACAAAAGAAGGGGAGAAAAGACCAAAGAAACTAAAGTACTAAATGTAATGTGCAATCATTGATTGGATCCTTGATGGAGAAAAAGATGGTTGAAAGAAACACCTTTGAAACAACTGGGGACATTTGAAAATGCCCATTCGATAATATGATTTTATCAATATTAAACTTTGTTGGGTGTGAAAATTTACTGAGATGGCGTGGGAGAATGCCCTTGTTCTGGGAAGATGAGTACTAAGGTACGGTATTAAAACTTACGGGTGCATTGTCAGGATATGTACAATTCTCAAATCACTCAGAAGAAAAGAACAAGGGAACAAATACAGCAAAATGCTAAGAAGTGGAGAATCAAGATGAAGTGTACGATTTTTACAATTTTTCTGAAGGTTTGAATTTCTCAACATAAGAAGGTGGGTTAGATAGCTGCTAAAATTGAACACTTCTTAGTGAGGGAACGTCCTCATCTTGATCTCACGCACCTGTGTCTTCAGCGGATTCCCTTCAAGGCTGCCAGCAGGCTTGCCTTTCACCTCTTCGCTGCACTGTAAGTTCTAAGGGCTGCCACCCTGTGCTCCCAGTTTTGATGAAAAGAATCCATGCAATGCCTGCAACTCGGTGAGAGGTGGTAATTCTTTTCTTTTTCCCTTTTTTTTTTTTTTTTGAGAGAGGTTTCTGCTATTGGGCGCGTGGGCTTGCCAGACAGACAGAAAGAGACAGAGAGACAGAAAGCGAGAAATCACCCCCCAGGGGGATGGTCACGCCGCAATCCCTTCTCCGTTCTCCTCTCGGGATGTTGGGCACGCACGCACACACGCCCGGCGTGAGTTTAAGCCACCGGGTCCACTACATGGAGTCCAGCGACGTAACCTTTACGTCACCTGCTGGTCCGGATGAGCTCATTCTTCCTCCCTGTCGCACTGAAAACTGCGTTTGGGCCGGAGTTAACAGTCACACCTGGAGGAGCGAAGGCGGTCTGAGCCCTGCCGGCCTCGGGCTCGGGCTCCGGCTCCGCGGCGCAGCCTGGACGGCCGTGGGAGGCCCGCACTCCCTCCTCCTCCATCTCCGCCGGCCGCCCAGGGCAGGAGCGCAGGGGCGGAGAGGCGGCCGCGCGACCGACTAGTTGGATTTTCCCGCCCCAGCGCCGGCCGACGGGCCGCGAGGGGGCACAAAACGCGAAGGCCCTCCCTGCTCTGCACGCGCCCCCTGGCGGCGGCTCTGGGGAGGGCCTTGGGCGGCCTTTCTCAGCCCCCTCCTGCTTTACTAGGAAGTGACCTGGCCAGGGCCGGGGCTAAACAGCCCAAGTCGCAGCTGCAGCCTTTCCCTGTCGCAGCACCTGGCACCATGTTGACAACCAGCTCTCAGAAAAAAACGTGTGTGTGGGAGGGGTGGGACCGGCAGTTAGCGTAATAGCTATGTCACTGGGCTCCCACGTAGTCGACCGCGGTTCGAGTCCTGGACCCGGTAGCTTGAAACTCACGCCGAGGCATGTGCGTGCGTGCCCAAGATCCCGAGAGGAGAAGGGATTGCAGCGTGGCCATCCCCCCTGGGGGGTGATTTCTCACTTTCTGTCTTTCTGTCTCTCTCTGTCTGGCGAGCGCATGTGCCCAATAGCAAAAAACTCTCAAAAAAAAAAAAGAAAAAAACGTGTGGGTGTGTGTGTGTATACAAAGTTTGTTACAATACATTTTACCACCTATGGGGGGACGAGGAAACTTCAAAAGATGCATAGAAAAATAGAACTAAAGTACAAGTTAATTTTAGTGCAAAAAGTTTTGAAATGTATGCATACTATTTTCATGATTTGCATTTTCCGTGAGCCTTTTGAAGACCCACATAGCCCGCAATTTACAAATAACGTAATACCCTTTATGGTAACACCTATACACACGTAACTTCAGAATGCCTTGCAAAGTCCATCGTGTGTTTGGTTTTGTTTTTCTTTTGGGGTTTTTTTAGAGAGATTTTTTGCTATAGGGTGTGCACGTGTACTCTGGATAGACAGAAAGCTCTCCCCCACCCCCCAGGATGGCCAGGATGCAGGAAAGATGCAATCCCTTCTCCATTCTCTAGGGATTTGGGGCACACATGGGCATGCATGTACAAGCACACAGTGTGAGTTTCAAGCCTATGGGTCCAGGACTCGAACTGTGGTCAGCTATGTGTGACTTCAGCAACGTAACCATTATAGGGGCCGGCAGGTGGTGTGGCAGCTAAGGGCGCTGGACTTCCACATGGCTGACCCAAGGTTCAAGTCCTGGACCTGGTGGCTTGCTTTCTCACTTTCCCTCCCTCTTTCTGTCTCTCTCTGGTCAAATGAAAGTAAATAAATAAATAATAAATGGAAGTTAAAAAATAAAATTTTTTTTAAAAAAATGACACCACCTACTGGTCCCCAACATGAGTTTTTATAATTCTATCAGCAACAGAGGTGTTACAAAATCAGACTGCAAATAGACACCTGTCTACTAGCCTGTTTTGTGAATGAGTGGCAAGGAATATAGTTCTGACACAAATGTTGGTTGACTGATTATTGTTTATGTCAAAAAGGTGAAGTTCTGGGAACTAGCAGTTA